TTTGTTCATTTAGAATTTCTCATTCGTTTGTTCATTATTCGTTGCTCGAATTGGAATTTTCTATTCGTTCGCGTTCGTTATTCCTCCCTCGTTCATCCGTTCGATTTCAACCTCACCGCCCATTATTTATTACTCGGAATGGAAATTCGTTTTTCCGTTATCTATGCGCGAATTATTATTCCTTTTCCCAGCGCATTGTGTACAGGAGGCTGTGCAAATATACAGAATATTCTACGCGAACCGAACCTACCACCGTCATATAATTCCGAATCGATAGTGGAAGATACTGCCAATCTTCACCGAGTTTCAAAGTTAAATAAAAGTAAGTGGTACAGCGTGGAAGACCATAATTGTAAAATTGTCGATAATTGAAACTGATACAACTTTATTATGCTGAACATAACGAGTGACCGAACCTTATACAATAATTTCGTCGCTTTCTCTTTGAACTCGTCGGTATGACATATCACTGGATAGAAATTATTGAGAAGTAATTTAACAAATTTATTATTTGTTTTGCCTGTGTTATACTTAGATATACTGAAAACTGAGAAAATTGCAATTTTGGGCCAAATATTTTCGACGTACGTGGCAAGAGATTAACCACTTGCGCTGACAACTGCAATTGCGGACCGTAACGAGTGACCGAACCGTACACAGTAATTCGTCGCTCTCTTTCTTTTTGAACTCGTCGGTGCGATATCACTCGATAGAAATGATTGACAAGTAATAAATTTCTTATTTGCTTTGCCTGGGTTATACTTAAATATACTTGAGACGGAGAAAATATTTTAATTTTGGGACAAAAAGTTCTCGACGTGCGTGGCACGTCGTTCCAGCGCAAGAGGTTAACCACTTGCGCTGGCAACTGCAGTTGCGGACCATAACGAGTGACTGAACCGTATACGGTAATTCGTCGCTTTCTTTGTCTTTCTTGAACTCGTCGGTACGACATCACTGGATAGAAATGATTGACAAGTAATAAATTTCTTATTTGCTTAGCAAGAGGTTAACCACTTGCGCTGGCAACTGCGGACCATAACGAGTGACCAAATCGTACACAGCAGTTCGTCGCTTTCTCTTTCTTTTTGAACTCGTCGGTACGATATCACTCGATAGAAATGATTGACAAGTAACAAATTTCTTATTTGCTTTGCCTGGGTTATACTTAAATATACTTGAGACAGAGAAAATATTTCAATTTTGGGACAAAAAGTTCTCGACGTGCGTGGCACGCCGTTCCAGCGCAAGAGGTTAATTTTGTTAACCGCACAGGTTAACGGGCCGAGAAAAACGTCAAAGCCATCGTCGAGCTTCTTTAAACGGCAGTTACTTTCAGCGTGGCTTGTCAAAGTGTTTCGCGATGTAAATTCGAGCGGGATCAATGAAACCGGTGGAGTGGAGGGGGTGGAAAAGAAGACGAGGTTCCCGACGAGGGGACAACGTCTCGGAAGAGAGACCGCGGCAAACTCGGAGCTTATTTCGCGGACAGGGCCGTGTCACGCGGACACATCGGATGTTACAACCCCCGACTTCGGGATCCGTGTTTCCATTCGTGCCGCGTGTTCTAACCGGGAGAGAAAATCTCCGGGTTTGTACCGGTAACAGCGAGTTGCGCGAATCCCGCGATATGGAAAGCATCGGCGGGACGGTGGGATGATTTACGATTCGTCGGGAATCGTCGTGAATTCGCTGGGAAACCTCTTTCGACGTTGGGCGACTATTACGGCCGACTGAGAATTGACAGGGGATTTTTATCAACCGCGTTACGTCCTCGCGATACGTTCGGATGTCAATTTTCCTTCGTTCCTTCGTTATTGAAGTTTCCTCGACAGTTTACTTATATCGTCGATTCAGTCGGCTGCTGGCGATGAAATTGAATATCACGCGCGTGCGAGCGATGGAACTGTTCACGAGAACTTACATTTCGGAAATTATCGAGGAAAATTTGCTCACCTGAATCGTCGTGACGATTCGACGCTGTGACGAAATTCATTTTTTCTTCTTTTCTTTTATTTTCTACATTCCGCTCCTTCGTTGTTGAAATTTCTCGTTGGTTTATTCATCGTCGAGTCGATCAACTGCTGGTGCTGAAGTATTGAATATTACACGCGTGTAAGCGTGTTGGAATATATACAGAAAATTAAATTTGGTAAATCATTGGGTGGATTTCGACGTAGTCAAAATTAATTTTTTTTATTTTCTAATTTAATCTATATTTTTGACTTGACATGTTACACGATCTCGTTTCGAGGCGAGGTTTTAAGATTTCGTCAAATTTTTATAAATTGTAGAACTTAGTCACGGTAGGCTCAATACAAAACTATCATAATTCACTGTATCACCGCAGTTCTATCGAAACGTATAATCAAGATCTGCGTTTAAAAAAGATTGATTCTCCCATTCTACGAACTCCTTCAGGAACACGAAATTCTCCACAAAAAAATTTGAGGCGCGAGAGTATCTCGAATTAACACGCAAGAAAAAAAGTCGTCGAGAAATTCGAGAAGCGCAAAACGAACAGGAAAGTTCGCGTCTAATAAATTCGATGGAAAAACGAGAGGAAAGAGAAAAGAGGGAACGAAGAGGAAGAAATGAAAAAAAACAAGACGGAAAGAAAAACAAGCGTGTACGTTCGTGTGTCGAGATTCGTTCGTGCCGGTTATTCGGAAAGTTAATAAAAATGCCGGCTTTAGCGATTGCGTGGCCAGCATGCCCGGCCACATTGCGGTGGGTCATGGGGCCGTGCAACATTTGCCGGGCGGTCACCCGGCGGAGACTCGATTTTCGCAGTTGGTTACACGTTCTCTATGGGTCTAAGTAGCCTTTCTCGTTGGCCTTTATCGAACGGACGCTGATTCCAATCCAATCTGCCATTTCATTAAGCAAAAAAAAAATCTATCGAAGTTTCCCTTCACTTTCATATTTCTCCCCTCGTCTCTTCTCTTTCCTTCACACACACACACACACACACACACACACACACACACACACACACACACACACACACACACACACACACACACACACAC